GTTATTAAGCAGTAGGATAAGCAGTAAAGTCAATTAAGACTACTGCTTAGGATGCTGCTGGCAAACTACGATTCTTTTAGTGAGAAGTGTTTGGTGTGTGCTTTGTTGAATGAATGTAGATCAACACACGATGTATCCTGGTTCAGAGGTGGTGTAATCCTCCTACGTCCAGTCCCATCCTATTTCAGATGGATTTCCACTAAAGTATTAAGCCCAATACACTTAGTGACAATCTAGCCTTTACAACACTTAGGTCTAGATCGAAGGTTTTTCACAATGAGTATGACACCACTCAAAGTTACTCAGTCCTTAGACTTTTCTCTAATGATCCAGTGGGGATCAAAAGGTACTCTATCTATCTAACTACACTTTAGGATCCGAACAACAGTTCTCCTAAGTGTTTACAACCACTTGTAAAATACAAGGAATTTCTGGCCACCAACTATGAACTAAGCTCTAAAAATGTGAAAGTATTGATCTAATCTAAGAGCTTAGTGAAGCATGAGGCTAAGCAGAGAGTAAAGGTGAGTTTGCACTTTTTCTTTTGCTAGATAGCTCGTATATGCTTTGATGAAAGTATTTCTCTACTTAGGATGCTCAAGCTTATTTAGAACTCATGCTTCTACCTATATTTATAGGCCTTCATGGTTGATTAATCTCATCCGTTGGTTGAGATGGATTAATCTTGTGCGTTGAGAGTCTGGCTAGGACAAATTGTACATTTGTCTTCTTGTGCAGGAGCTTTTAATCTTTTTGTTTTCTGTCTTGAATGATTGGGCTGCGGTATGGGTGTGTCTTCAGCCGCTGCAGCTTCACTCCAAGAAGTCCTCCCATGCTGTAGGACCGTGTATTTAATGTCGGTCAGCTTTTGTCTTCCAATCAATATTCAATGTATTCGATCATCTCAAATGTGACCTATATTTAATCTTTGAGTAAAATGATATATGCCGGTAGGATTTAAATATCCTATGAAGGTAAAAAGTTACCTTATTGCATTTTTATGTATCCGGTAATATATCATTAATCTTAAAGATTTTACATTTATTTTTGTCACTTATGATTTAAATTTAAATGTTACTTCTGAAAATAAGACTCAATGTACATTTGTTTAGTATAGTGGCATCATCAAAATCTATCAAAATTGGAGACTAACAGCTACTAATCTCTTAGCGAACGATTAAGTGTGTGTGAATGTGTCCTAGAACAAATTAGATCTCTCTTAATTTATTCTATAAGCAATTGTAATTCTAGTGGCCATCTAGGTTACAAGAGATATCTGTTAAATTATTCAAACACAAATTAAACGACATTCATGCAATTAAACCAACAAAAATCTAGCCATACATCATGATTAACCCCTTCATCGATCCCAAATCCCTAATTAAAACTACTCACAATTCATAATTGAAGAATCAATAGAATTGGAATAAAAAGAATTAATTGTCATTAATTAAAAAGATGAAACTGACAAAGAATCTCAGGGTCTTGAACAAAATAGCGGAAAAACACTGTAAAACACGTCCCTAAGCCTCTCTCTAGGTTTCCGAACCCAAAAACGGGGTTAGGGAAGCCTTATTTATAGAAAACAACGTGTTTTGGTCGAAAAAGGACAGATCCGCGGTACGCACAGAGCCTACGCACGGCGTGCGTTGCGTCCGTGCGTCCGACGGACCTGCGCGAAAAATCGGGCAACGCACGGCGTGCGTTCACCTATGCACGCCCGTGCGTTGCTGCCAGTAGCTCCCCTTCATCGAATTCCTTGAACGCACGGCGTGCGTTCCCATACGCACGACCGTGCGTTGCTGCCAGTAGCTCCCCTTCGAAAATAATCCTTGGACGCACGGCGTGCGTACCCGAACGCACGGCCGTGCGTTGCTCTTTGCTGTTCCTGACCGCTACTGCCACGCACGCACGCCGTGCGTCCCTGTACGCACGGCCGTGCGTGGCCTTTCTTCTTCATTTTCTTCGGTTTCTTCCGTTTTTAAGCCTCCGTTTGACCCCTCGATCGATCCAGTAACTCTTTCTTCATCAAAACATCATCGTGAATCTCTCGGTGGCCTCCAGAAACTCCGAATTCACTCTCGAATGCTTCTTAACTCGTCCCGATCACTTCTCAAATGCCGATGTCAGGTCTCAAAAACCTGATTTCAACTCTGAAAATACCAAAACTCATACCCACGCCCGGTACACATGACTTGAGCTAAAATTGAGACTTACGACACCCAAAAGCTAGGAAAACCATCAAAATCCGACTCCAACACGCATCAAATGCGTGTTGAAATACAAACTTATCACTTAGCGTTCTTGTAATCCAGATTTTTAGCTTTGTTTGCATTGAACTTGTCTGGTTGACCACGCATCAACAACTTATAAGTGCCCAAGGATATAATTTGAAGTTCTCAAAGTCACCGACCCAAGAGAAATGGTCAAGATTGATCTTCGTTGAGTGGTCTGTAGTAAGCAATACACCATCAACCAAGAAAAGTGAAGCCAACTTCACCATTGTTAAGGGGTCCATCCTCTTTTTCGGTCTCACTTCCTCCATTTTTTCCTTCAACTCTTGGTATGTGAAACGATTGTTTCATGCTAAGAACAAATCTGCCACACCACCTTTCTCATTCTTTTTAACAAATGTGGCCCGGCTGCCTGGCTAGTGTGCGCGGGCAGTTTGGTAATTTTACAAAACTCTTGAAAATGAACATAAAAATCTCCCCTCTTGTGGAAAACCATAGCTCATCCACGGGTTTTCGCCGCACCAGCCGCAACAATAACATGTGGATAATCTACCAAACAATGTAGGTCTGGAGTGTCAGCGAGATGTCCCCATGGAAGCTTCTTGAACAACTCCATTTGCGTAATGGACAAGGACGACTACAAGAGGTTTCTCAATACGCCAAAATAGGAGCAGAGAGAATATTGGGCCGGGAAATGGGACTCAATAGGAATGACCAGTTCATGCTTCTTCCTACGAATAACACAAACGAAGTCATATTTTTACACACATAATGACTTACACCAAAATCACTTGTAGAGGCCAAACCGTCTATGCACAGACGTTGTATTTCAATCTTGTAGACAATATTAAAATCCTACAATCTGGCCCCTTAACGACTACAAAACTCTATTACACTGTGCTTCTCATTTCATGAAATTCAATATTCCAACTTTAAACTTCGAAAAAACCCTAATGATTTCAAAAAAAAATTAATCACCAAGAGAGACAAACAACACATCACATATTACGGACAATAGGGGATGATAGTGAACAATACTACTAACAAATGTCTTCAAGAAGTGGATGTTACCCTTTCTTTAAATCCTCAGTCATGGATGAATGTGATGTACGAACCATCATCTTGATGTGGATGCTAGACGCCTGCTTTGGAAGTGAGATGAGGGAGGGGAGATGGTCGCTTGGTGATGATGAGGTTGTGTGTGACACCTGGGCGATAGCTTCCAATTTGGATGCTTGACGGCGAAGAACAACAACGAGGTGGGGTGAGATATGCATAGAGAAAGAGAGAGAAAACGACGAAGAAGATAGGTGGAGAGGTGGGATTTTAGGAAGAGAGTCGCACGTGGGGGGAGAGAGGTGGGAAAAAAATACCTGATCTGATTTTTTATTTACCTTTTATATGGTGTACAATTTGTGTACATCACATGTACACTAAGCACTTTTTAGGGTTGTCACGCCCAAAAAAATGAAAAATTCTTAGTGTATATGAGTTATACACAAAATGTACACAAAACTCCTCCAATTGTCTGTGTATACGGATAATTCATTTGGAAAGGTACAAAATTTGATGCCAAAATCTCTCTAATTGCTTGTGTACACAAACAATGTACAATTTATGTAGACACTAGTTGTGTTACGCGCGTTGCGCGATGGGAAGATGCCCAATAACATGCATGACTTAATGACACTATCATGGTTTCATGTAATATTTCTTCAAATTCACAATTTAAAAAAGTTGTAATCTTCACTCAAAATGACCTAAAAACATAAATTCAACATGAGAATCTAAATTAGACTATGAATTGAAAAGAAGTTTCATATTAACAAAAACACTCACGTAAACAAATTTACAAACATCAAGAGTGCTTTAGATAGAATTTCTCTTTTCAAATTAAATATAAACAAACAATAAAATTACAAATTGTGAGCCTCTCGATTTTGACAATTACATCTTAAGTTGCAATTTTCATATACAATGTAAACTGATTCAGAACTACACTGATTTTATGATTATTAGCAAGAAAACATGTGAGAGATGAATCGCTTCTCATGTTGAAATTTAGGGAGTGTTTGTAAGAATAAAAAAACGCTTTTCCGTCTTTTAGTTTTAGAAATTTTAAATGTGTTTTCACGTGACATATTATGTTTAAATTAAGTACTAAAAAACTAAAAATTGGAAGCTGGTAGATGATGCTTTAATTTACATTGTTTTCACGTTTTCTATTATACAAAAAGTATTTTTTACAAATACTGTCAACTTTTTACTTTTTCCAAAAACACATTTTTTCAAAACACTCCCAACTTTTATTACTAAGCACATTTTCTAAAATTACTTACAAAAATAACTTATTAAAAATAGAAACAATTGTGAATGCTTTATTTACCTCGTGGATATTGGACGTATGAATTTAGTAATCTTGGCATTCCATGTCCAGTTCAATTCAATAAACTCAAGAATAAACCCAATTCATTAAACTTAAAACCACTATGTTCACTTTCTATTAAAAATTGCTTGTATACCTAGCAATGATGAGGATTGCCTCATTGGCACTTAAATGAGATAAAATATACGGAGCATGATGCATAAGATAAAATGCTAGAAGTGAGTATGGCCTGAGAAGAGAAGAGAGAATCAGATTGGGAATAACATTTATATAACGGAGATATATAACGGAAAGGGCTTAAGTGAAAGGTTTTAAGTTTTAGTCATAACATAGATAGCATAAAGTACAATTAAGTATTGCCTTTATTACAACCAACACATTTTGCATTCCTAAATAACCCTAACTCTCATTCATTTTCATAAGTTTGTAAAGAAAAGATTTTGTATACTTGGAGGATGGCCCAAAAAATGTTTCACTCGAACCGCAACCCAACTCGCCTAGCCGCGTGTTTTCTGTTTGGTTTTCCAGCCCCATGGTCCCTCCTCATTCCGGCTTCTGTCCGAGTCACACCGTGGCTACCTCTGATACACCTTTTCCGCCGTCGTGCTCGTTATTTCCCGGCGGATCCGGGTGAGTTATTTTCTACGGATGAGCCCACGATACTCTACCAATCGTTATAGCCTCGTTTTTCATTTAAATTATTTTCTGTGTATGCTTCAGCGATAGGGTTTCTCCCCCCGTTTTTAATATAGGGTTGGTTATACATAATTACACAATAAGTTAGTACCATAGTAATTACTTCCTAAGAAGACGTTATCTTGATGCAATTCGTGGTTTTATATTATAGTATGTGCCTCTCTTTGACTCTTTGTATCTCTAGGTCCTAAACACAGTGTTTGCAGTCACGGAATAAGGTATAGTAACTAATCCTTCACCCCCACAAATCTGAAATTATGTTTTCCTTTTGTTCTAGTTTGAACCTTCAACGGATAACTGTGAGTTCAGTAGAATTTGGATTCTTATGCGTTTTTTAGCAGGGTTCTGGGAAATAACTGTAAAAGAATCCTGTTTTCATAGTTAACTTTATCTCTTATGACTTAGAACATTACAGTTAGCTCTTGAGGATACTGGGGTGAAGGAAATATGACAGTTTCTATTTTTGTGCCAATTAGAATAACCCCAATAATTTCAGATGCATGCCAGGGTGAATTGGTTTGACTTTATTTCTTTCCTTATATATGGATTTTTAATCCAATTTCATACTAACGTAGAATCTTTATAGTTGGCGTTGGTGGGTCTCATAGGCCCTTACTTTAAAAACATCTTTTCAATGTCCCAGTTTTGCTACATTTGGTTTGTGGATCAGGAGGGAGATTTGACTCAAACCAGTTAAATTACTTGAAAGCAAGTGCAACTTAACACCAACACATTAAACTGTTCTGTAAACATCCTTTTCAAGATACCATAGCGCATGTGAATCACATGACGCTAATAAACATTATGGAAACTTCTTGACAACTCACAGTACTTGAGTCGCATGTGTGGGATCCTAACCTATTTATGTGAGTGTTTTAGAGTTCATTCTTCCTGTGTGGAACGTAACTCATAGTACTCTTTTTCTTTCAAATTCAGGAAGAGCCCTTGTAGTTTTGCATTTCAAATCAACTTTGTTTTTAGCAAATACCAGAGTATACTTATGTCTTTTTGTGCTTTTGATTTTCTTTTCTTTTTATTAGTCTTGTGAAGCATTGATGAAAACTCTATGCTACATCTGTTTTAACTTTCACTCTGGTAATGAGCTTGTCTTTCTCTTGTATCCCGTATTTGCTTTTCAGAGGGTGCATTTGTTATAGACCTGTCTTGCTGTTTAAGGTTGGACACATTTGCTTTGGAAGTCATGGGCAGCACATTTAATCCTCAGATCTTAGTGGATAAGCTGGCTAAGCTCAACAGTTCACAGCAAAGCATCGAGAGTATCCTGGAATATTAGTTTAAGCACTCCCTTTGTCTCATTTCGTATGACTTCCACGAGTAACAAGGACTGCCAAAGTTATTGTATATATTTAATTAATATCATATTAGCAATTAAAACTATTTATTTTTAAAAGTTACATGAAATTTTGTACCTAAGCAGAACAATCAAATTTGGAAAAAGTAAAGTTTGTTAAAGGAAAACCAAGAGAGAAAGAATACTCAGTTTGATTGATAAATGCTAAAAAAATTATATTAGTGAGACAGGAGTAAGTTAATTTTTTGTAGTTTCTCTGTTTCTGCCAATATCATTTTTAGCATTTGATATATATCATTCCCGACTCCTGATATTTATGACTGTTATTTACATGGAGTTACTCATTTGGTAATTGGTATGTATTTAAAAAAGAAAATGCCCTTGACACCAACAAGCTCTATCGCATTGGTGTATTTTTCACATGAATAAAGCAAAACAAGTTGTTGAAACCTGGGAACGCCAATTTCATTGTTCCCCACGTGAGCAGCGTTTGGCTTTTCTCTATCTTGCAAATGATATTCTTCAGAACAGCAGGCGCAAAGGTTCAGAATTTGTGGGTGAGTTTTGGAAGGTTCTTCCTGGGGCTCTGCGCAAAGTAATTGATAGCGGGGATGAATTCGGAAGGAATGCTGCGCTACGGCTGGTATGAATTTATATTGTACATTGTTTTTTCTTCAGGATAAGTGTTCACACTTGTAGATTGCGTATTAAACATGGAAACAATATTTAGGTAAAAATATATGGACCGAAGCAGGCCAAATGTGTGTGTGTTACCAATGCCATATGAGTTGTGATGGTTATGGCTTGACATTGCTGTTTTGGTTTTGCCTAATTGTCAGTACACAGAAGAATGAGAAGATTGGAAAGATATTTACGATTCCAGTCAACCCTAGTTGCTTTTTCAGAATCACAATAGATTATAAAATTACCTTATGATTAATGTCAAGGTTGTTAAGATTTAAGACCAAGGTTGTTAAACTCAAGATCCTTGCTCAGATCCAAAGGGGTCTAGGAGATTGTAACTCGATGATCGTAATTCGAATCTTAAGACCCTAGAATCAAAGCTATCATGCACATATGTATATAATTATATGTCAATATGTGTGTGTGTGTTTGTATGTAGATATATATTTAGACTTAACACTTTTCAAATATTAATAACATAATGTCATTCTCTTAATGGTATAAAATAAAATCAAAAATACAAATATGGAAAACGAATTAAAAATACTCAGCTTGTAAATAAAAATTCTTAAGTCTTAGAAGATTATACGGAGAAGGGACAAATGTGTTTTCTGAGGAGAAGAAGAAAACAAGTGTTGCAGAATAGGAGAACGGAAGAAGGCGAACCTGAAGGTGTCATTTGGGTCTTTGTAGATCGTTATTTTTTTCAAACTTGAGTCATTTCTGCTCAATCTGCATCCTTTCCGATTTCTAACCCTGAGTGTCATTTTGGAATTCCGTCCATGTGTGTCGTATTCTTTCCCTACGATTCCGCGATCTAACGAGTTGACTCGTCGATCCGGCAATCTCTCTGCGATTTCTGATCCAAGCTACGATCCAGCTCAACCATATACCCACAACACTTAAGATCGTTCGAGTTACAAGTTAACTCGCGGTCTTGATAACCTTGATTAAGATGTTATTTTATGTTTGTTTTTTGGATGGGATCCTAGTTTCTTTCCATTTAAATGCTTAATCTTTATATGGTGTTGCTCTTGCCATAAATTAATTTAGCCTCCGTTCATAAGTAGCACATATGCAATCATTTGTTGTTGTAATAATTTGCGTTGAATAATACAACTATATTAGGAATGCCAATAATTTACTTTGTTTTCCATATATATGATCTTCAGATTGGTATTTGGGAGGATAGAAAAGTATTTGGCTCTCGTGGACAGATTCTCAAAGAAGAATTTGTGGGGAAACAGGGTGATAGTAGCTGTAGAATTGAGAAACCCTCTGGATTCAGATTGGTATATCAGTTTTTCTCTAAATACATTTTTTAGGATTTCGTTGCTGACAATTAAATAGATAACAGACCCAGCCATCTTACTTTTTTTTCTTTTTCTTTTATAGAGGCCGGTTGGAAATGGACTGGACAAAGTAGTTTCGTGTTATCAGGTGCTATATGGTGGCCAACTAGATGAGGATGCTTTACTAACTAGATGTAGAAATGCAATAAACTCAATTGAGAAAATCGATAAGGCAATTGAAGGTGACCTTAATTCAGGTATGTCCCTTCTTTACTTCCTTGCCTTGAGCATATATATGAATATATATATATATATATATATATATATTCATTTATCTATTAATTCACTTACTTTTCAAATTTATTTATTGTGTTTTGACTTTCAAGTTGTTCTTTGATAAGGTTTCGGTTTGGCATGACATGGTTTTTTATAAATCACTTTTGTTTTTCTTTTGACTTCCAAAATTTACCTTGTGATATGTAGTCGAGCGTAATTACTAGTTGGTGGTGGTAGTTGGGGATATTAAATGAGGCTAGTAAAGTAACAACTTTTTCTTTTACCAATTAAGGGGAATACTCTAATTGGGGTTGGCAGAAAAAGAAAGTACGTAATTTGTTTAGGGACAAAAGAGGTATATATGTATCCTGTAATAATTTTAGCCGTGTCTCGAATAATTGAGTTTCCGCTTTCAGTTTTTTACGCAAGTTTTGTATGTATGAACCATCCTTGTAATGTCTTATTATGTACGTAGTAATAATTTATGACATGAGATGTTTGACGTACTCTTGGATTGCCTAAAGTATTTAGGGACCATCTTTGTAAAATTTTAGCTCAAATTGTTATATTTTTTGTGTTTCTTTAATATATTGTAAAAGGACACATTCACGAATCTGGATGTGCACATGAGCTGAAGGAGCAGCAGGAAATTTTGAAGGATTGCATTGAGCAGCTAATAACTGTTGAAGCATCTAGATCAAACCTTGTGTCGCAACTTAGAGACACTCTAAGGGAACAGGTTGATTTCCTAGTTTCATCTTATTTGTATATAACAATTATTTGATATTTGTATTTTCACTTCTGATTGATGACGTTTATGTTTTATTAAACCAGGAATGTAAACTAGATTCAGTCCGCAGTGAACTTCAGGTAGCCGATAATTCTGATTTTTTATTATTAATATACATACTGCAAATTGAGTTCCCGTTTGGTATGTTTTTTTGGCTTTTTACCAAATACTAAATGGCCGACTGGTAGCCACTGTTTTGACTTATAAACTGGAGTTTTAGCAAACACTAATTTATTGACTGCTGAATTGGTAAACGATTTTAAAAATAGAGTTAGAGTTGTGTTTTTGGCTGAAGTTTCTGAAGATAGTCATTTTAGTTTTTTATGTGTCTTTTTGTCTTTATCTTGTGACTCTTGTCAGTAAAAACACATTTTAAATACCGTTTCATCAATTCCAGCCAAATTTCTCAGATTCTTCCATTATATGCCTTACCAAACGGGCTCTAAATCGGTTTAGGTACATAAAACATGAAGGGCGGGCCCGACACGAATGGGTACGTCCTTTTTCAGTACGCCTGCAGACCTTATCCATGTTGGTATAACAACTTGAAATGGTGGTGCGGTGTCTTGTTTGTGTTTGTAGGCTGCTCAGTCACGCTCAGAACAAGCGTACAATATAGGCAACCGGTTGCAAAATGGTGATGACAACATGCTGACATTGGGCGAGCAAGGTTGGAGTAGTGGTGGTCCTCCTTTCCCCCCTTCTCAAACGACTCACAACGGAGAGCAATCAGCTCCTGTAATGTACACCCGCCAGTTAGAAAAGCCCGCTCTCCACCTTGAGGAAGAAGATCCCAAGTCTGCAGCAGCAGCAGTTGCTGCCAAGCTGACCGCCTCAACATCCTCTGCCCAGATGCTGACCTATGTCCTCTCTTCTCTTGCGTCAGAGGGCGTAATTGGAAATCAAACGAAAGATTCCACCTGCAACAATTATTCTCCTGCTGAGAAGAGGGCAAGACTGGAAGTCGAATATGTTCCAAATGAACAACCTCCTCCCCCGTCATCTCCCCCGCCACCTATGCCCCCTCTACCCCCCATGCAACCCTACCCTCCCTACCTGGAGAACCAGAGTGCAGGTTATAGTTATCAACAGGTCCTTCCTCCTATCAATGGACTATTGCCCTTTTCAGCTCCTTCGGGAAATGTTTTTCAGGTTTATCATCCATCTGATGGTACTTTCTACGCTCCTCCACAACCGGCCTTGCCGATGGCCCATCCGGCAGCCGGCAATAAGATGTGATAGAAGTGTTTGTGTGTGGAGTGTGAGGACAAATTGACGTTAGGAATTTGAGGATGTATCTGTTTTGTCTTGTCTGACATATATATACACATTACACAGACACCCATTATTAACTTCTTTTATACTTACTGAACTGGCGGACATAGACTAGAAGTAAATATTTGTAGCTTGTACTTTGTATTGTTTTCATATTGTTGTACTTGATAGTTTTTTAAATGGAAACCGTAAGTCCGTAATACTCTATATATCCAAAATAATTGTAGCCACAACAACTAACAATTCAAATGATCGATGTACATTTTCGTGTTGGCCATGTACGCTGAAGGCTATGTTGACATTTCAGCCCATGAAGGGCTGAAAATTCTTAAATTCAGCTAATAGTTTGATAAGTAGCCCTGTTTGGCCAAAGAGCTAAAATCTGCTGAAACTGAAAAATATGGACTGAATTCAAACGTTTAAGCACCAAGCGTTTCTATTCAGTCTCTGGTTCACTGCATTCCTCTGACCAAACTATCCCTGATGACAGTAGACTTGGCATATTGCAGGACACCGCTATGCTCTGGAATTGGATTTTACCATCGATATTGTAATTAGAGCGTAGGCATACCTAGCTATCGATTGAGATGTACATCTAGCTTGAGTATGGGACATATGTATATCTTAATTGAGATGGGACACAGTTGGTCATCATCTGCAAGTAAATTGCACTTCCTGGCGGACCTGGCACATCCCTTTTTGGAATCTTCATTATATATGTGTACATATATTCATTATTTATTTATTTATTTACTATTTTTATTTTACTACTACTATTATTATTATTGATATTATTATTATTATTATTGCTTATATTGAGAGAGAGTGAAGGTAAAAGGAAAATGGTAGGGAGAGAGTGAAGGTAAACGAAAATGGTATCTAATGTGAGAAGTGTGAAATTTTCACTTTTATTTTCGTACGATAAGATTTTTTTATCCTTACTATATACTCCGTATTCGAATTCGTATAAGACCATTCGAATTCGGAAAATTCAAATACAAATACAAATAAGAATATTAAATTGAGAAATTACCCTAAATAGGACTAAAAGCACTTCTATATTCCAAAAATAGGACTGTCATGTTTCTATTCCCAAAATAGGACTAATTAATGCCATGTTTTGGCAGTACCAGGCTTTAAAGATGACATTATTTTCCAAACTTGACAGTAATTACTTCTATTTTGGGGAAAAAAACATGACAGTCCTATTTTGGAATTTTCAAACTTATTTAGTCCTATTTCGGGAACTTTCCCTATTAAATTTGATTCGAGTTGTTATCAAATACAAATAAGAAAATCAATGTATTCGATTCGAATATTAATCAAATATATTTGATTAATAATAGTGGTAAACTGGTAATATTAATAATAGTATTAATAATAATAGTAATAACACTATAATAACTTGTAAAAGATAGCAATACTCTCAAAGTATAGCCCATATATACATTTATGCATACAGATTCCAAGCCCATTTGTGATAAATCAGAATATAATTACAAATACAAATCATTTTTTTGGTTCAAAAGTCTTTCAAAGACAATATATATAATTATGTATTTGATTCGAAGAATAAAATTAGAGTCGTTTGACTTTAATATATACAACTATCAACTCATTTCACACATTATAAGTATATTTTCTAATATGTGTGTCAATGTGTGTGTGTGTGTTAGTATTTATTTCAAAAAGTTTGAAATAGATTTATATTTAGTAATCATAAAATTGATTCACTTTAGTATATCGTCACAATCTAAAAGCTTCCCATTCTCTTATCTTTGCATTCACTTTGTTTCGGACTGAGAGCAGATTCCTTGGAATAGCAAACTCTGCCTAGTCCTCAGTCAGCTTGCAATCCAGGTAGTTGAGAATTGCTTCAGATGGAGTTCTGCCAGGAACAATCTTTCTATCTGACCATTCAATGGCTTCTTTGAAAGAACCTCCAGAACCAATTTGGACAAACCAATCGTTGTCAAGATAGAGGTTTTCCTGTTGGAGAGGAGTCCGTTTCTTCTTCATTTCTTCAAATTTGACTCTTTCTTCCTTAGAAAGTCTGTTGTTTGCCCAGTCTAGAGAAAAACCACCAGACTTCTTCTTGGTTGGTTTTGGGATGGCAGGTGGCATTGAGGGGCCAACAACTGCTCTCTTCTTCAATCTGTGTTGCTCAAAGTAAGTAGCTGGGTCTGGAGTAGATGCTCTGGCAGGTTGGAGTTGAAGAAGCTTAGGTTGCTCAAGGTCCTCTTCCCCCTTTTTGGCATCATGGAGGTCCTGGTGGAGGATGAAGATCTTCTCGAACTCAGAGGCATGAGCTTTGCCTAAGTCTTCAATAGCAGTAGGAAGGATTTCTGTGACTTGAGCTAGAGAATCTAGCAAATCTTTCTGTTTCTCCACATCAGTTGCTATAGTCTTCGTGTTGCTCTCAAGTAGAACTAGTTTGTTGTAACGTTCTTTGTCAACAGCAGCAGCAACTTCTGTTTTCTTCATGTTTTCAGAGCAGAGGGCTTCTATTCTGTTGAGCTGCTCAGCCCTCTCGCTGTCAGAAGCCTTCAATACATCAACAGAAGAGGCCAGAGAGGAGATAGCCTTTTCTTGAGTATTGAGGATATCTTGAACTGAGGTCAGGGCCTTCTGAATTCCTTCTACAGAAGTGGTAAGAGACAGAAGATCAGAGTTGACCTTTGTTGCAAAACCTCCAGCAGCTTGCAAGAACTCCCTGAACTCCTCATTTGGAACTTCCTTTTCATAGCCCAGCATTTTGAGTCTTCGAATAGTAGGTCTTCTGGGATCATGCTCTTGGGCAGAGGAGCCAGACTTCTGTTGGTACCTGGGAGGGGTCTTCTCTCTTTTGGAGATAGCAACATTGGGGTTACTATATAAGAAACCACCATGTCCATAAACCCTTTGGAAGGTAGATGACTCATCATAACTTGGGTAGTAGGGCACAACATCCCTGTTTACCTTCTGCTTTCTTGTCATGGAAGGTTTTGAGGCAGTATAGTGCCTAGAGTAGCCCAGTGGTGCTGGAGTGACAGAAATGGTCTTAGGGTCACAGGAGTTGTTGCTTCCCTGTTGATGCTGGTTGTGAGGAGAAGGAGGTGGGGGAGATGGTGATCTGGATTTGCGAGGTGTGAGCTGTTTGCAGGGTGAAGGGTGTCTGGAGGAGGTCTTCTGAGGTGAGGGAGTTGGAGTTTTCTTTGGTGAGGTGTTTTTGGAAATGGATTTCTGAGGTGAAGGGGTTTTCTGGTTAGGTTGTTGGGAGGATTGAGTGCTTTGCCTGTGAAGAGACTCATTGGCAGAAGCATAAGGTGTTAAGGCTTTCTGTGGTGGTGATGGTGGTTTAGAAGATGATGAGGATGAGGGTTTCTGTGATGGAGACTTGGATTTTTGTTTGGGTGAAGGAGAGGGATGGGGTGTTGTCTCCTTTGGTGGTGAGGGAATGTGGACAATAGGAGATGCGGGAGGAGTATGAATAACTACCTCAAAATTTTTATGCTGAGCCCTTCTCCATTCTGCAATGAGTTCGGCAAGAACTACATTGGCATCCGATGGTTCTCCACCCAGACCTTTCTCCTGATGGTTAGGGTCAAGAGACTCCTTCAAGGTCTTCTCCATCAGCCAATCATCAAACAGAGGCCTTTCTGTGTCAGTCAGAGGAGCAACAACATCTACTGCTGGAGAGCTTGTGCAGACTGCTTTGCCCTTGTAAGCCTTCTTCTTTTCAGCTGGAACTGAGAGTAGGAAGTTCTTGTCTAAGCACTGCTCTACATCTTCCGTTCCCACCCATTTGAGGACTTTTACTTCCTCAACCTCATAAAATGGGAACATCCTCAGAATTTCAGAGAGGGGGGCAACTCTCCACTTCCTCCATGCTAGAACTCTCTCAAACTGCCTATCCAGGGCAGTGAGGTAATCAATCTGAAGTACAGAGGTCTCAGGGGTTCTGTTGGTGACCTCTTGGTGTTCTGGGGAAGAAACCACCAAAGGTTGTTGTACTTCTTCAACAGAGAGGGGACTATTCTGTTCCCCTGAGCATCAGCAAGTGAGGTAGAAGAGGAGCTAAACACTATCTTCTTACCTTGCCAAGTGGGTTGTTGAGGCTGTTCTGTTGGCACAGAAGCATCAAGTTCCTCCTGAACTTGAGGCTCTTCTTCAGACACATGGATGACAGGCGTCATCTGCTTCTTCTTCTTCTTCTTCTTAGCTATAGGAGCAGCAGAAGGAGTGGATTCATCAAAAACAGAAATGGGTTTCTTTCTCTTGGTGACAGGCTTCTTTGTCACCACCTTCTTCACCTTCTCCGGAGCAGCCTTCGTGGTGACAACTTTCTTCACGACCTTTTGAGCCAGAGGGATTTCATCCTCTGAGTCTGCATCAGAAGGAGTGGGGGCCTTCTGTTGCTTCCTCTTCTTTGGTCCATCAGGTTTCTTAGGCTTGATGGCCTTCTGTTGCACCTTCTTCCTGGCCAACTCAAGCTTATTCAAGCGTTTCTTCTCTGCCTTGAGGCTATGTCTCTATCCTTGGATGTGGTAAGGAAGAGGAGCTTGGAGAAGTCAGTTTTTATAGGGTCTCTCAGTCCCACGCCTGATTTGACTAGCAACTCTGATAGCAGAAGCCCATAGCCCATGGGTGTGTTGAATAGATTGGTTTCCTTGTCTTTCTTATTTATGAACTCAATGAGAGATTTGATTATCACCTGTCCCCAATTAATGTTCATTCCATGAAGAACTGCGTAGATAGCCTTTGCATTCTGAACGGTCAGGCCATCAGTAGACGTGCTCTTGCTCCATACACATCTGTGAAAGAAGTTCACCAGCTTTTCAAAGTCACTTTGAACCTGGTGTTTCTTGTTAAGCTTTGTAATTTGACCAACTTTTGGTTTGCAGTAGAGTTTCACAAAGTCCTCGATAAGTAACCTGACTTCATCTAGGACGACGAAGCCTTCATCATCCTCTTCTTGGTTCTCCTGTACTCCAAATAGTGCGTTGATGGTGTCCGGAGAGAGGATGATGTCATCACCATTGACATGTGAGCAAACAGTTTCACCCTCAATGGTGCCGTTGAGATAGAACTCAATGATGTCCTTGTTGTTGTACTCTGAGAAGTGATAACTGACCACTTTATCCAGCTGTGAGTCCTTCATGTCCTGGATAATTTTGTTCATGGTTTCCTGGTTTGCAGCCAGTTCAGGAAGTGCGGACAGGTCGCAGTTCATCCCGGTGTAGATATTTTC